CTACTAATCTACTTCTACGCCTGCCACCTGATGTTTCGCGTAAAGACTGACTTGTAATAAAACTCTGGGCCTTCAACACCACACAACGACAAAGAGTAACACCAAACAGTGTTTCTATTACTTTACACACATGACAAGCTGAAATTAATTTCATCATAATAACTCTATAATGAGAGTACTGTACATCAAAAAAGGAGAATGATGAGTAATCACTATTAAATAAACTGGCTGTTAATCATGTAATTTGTGTATTTTGCATTTATTGGTGGAAAATGAGCTGATTGGGTTTATGGGTTTTTAAAATATTGCATTAAATTCAGATGTTTGATTGCTGTGAGATCCTAAACAGTTCTGCAGTATCTCTATTGAGTACCTCATACAGTCCTTGGGGAAGGAAAGACTTGAAAATGCATTTCACACATCAATCTAAATTAATGCAAGACCTTCTTCGTACTTTGACCCATTTACCACGAAACTCTTCTTTAACCTGGCCTGCCTCGCGGTTATCTGCAGATGTTAATATTTGATGTCTGTGTGGTCAGAAGGACCAAGGTGAACCTCAGAACTGCTGAGGCTGACAAGTGTTATAAAAGATGCGGTTAATGTTTCATCCCTGCGTTTTTGCATGATCATTTTTGAAGGGGTCTGCATGGAAATTGTAAAGCAAATGATGAATCCTTTCTGAGACGTCTCCTTTTCCATTTAAAAAAAAATAAATAATACCCAGCTCATTTCAACAAAATGTTGCAGTTCACCGTCTCCTAATTATAGTCTTTCTCTCAGTATTAACTCCAATTACAGCACAACACCTCCTCTTCTAATGTCCCTTGCTGTGTCACTTTCAACCTGATCAACACGTTTTTCAAACCAATTTACACCCACCATCCAACCATTTTATATTTAGTAAATGAGGACATTTCAGCATATTTATTTGTTTATTTACTTATCGGTTACACGGCCTCTCCAAATAATGATTTTACAAAAATGTCCTCTAAAACTGGTATTTATGCAGCAAATGCACAGCAATATGAGCTAATGGACCGTGTCGGTGGGTAGGATCATGCTGCCGGACAGATGGCTAGACAGCGTTGATCAGCTGCCTTATGAAAAATAACAAAAAGTTTGGATTTGTGGGACTGGACCACTGTTTATGGCAAATTCATAAGTTCACATTAGCCAACAATATCACATGGAACACGAGTTAATCCATAGGTATGTGAGGGGGTTAGAAAAATTAATGGGAACACCTACTATTACAGGGGTTAATTTAATTTGTGCAGTGAAAAAACGAACAGGTTGTATATCAGTGTAGTATAAGTTGTGTTCAGCAGTGTTTTAGTACAAGCGCTCAGTGAAATGGTTGGCTTGTCAGACTTCCAAAAAGGCCAAATCATGCAAGTCCATTTCAGCAGGAGCGTCTGTAACCTTAACAGCCCAATTTGTTGGTGATTTAAGAACAACAGTCTTTGTGATTATGATCACATTCAGAAAGTATGGCAAGACTTCAGTGAAGGCGGTGGCGAAAACTGAAAGTGAATGATAGGGACAATCAAACACTAAGAAGGACTGTGTCCAAACAACAGAATTATCGCAGCAAAGGGACAGCAAGCCTTAATTTTTTATCCTGATGAATACCCTGTTTCCATGAAAACTGACCACAAGAGAACTTCACAAAGCCAACATCCATGAAAGAGCTGCAGCTGCTAAAACTTTTTTATCACAGACACCAATGCTAAAATGAGAAAAATATGGTGTCATGATCATAAAACCTGGACAGTTGGAGCACCAAGATGAACTTGAACTTGCTTGAATATTATCGAACCACTTTGAGCAGATTTGGAGAGAAAAGTGAGAAACAAGATTCCTTCCTCCAACTGGCTGATGTTTTTATAGACATTAATAAATATTATAATATAAATACATATTGCCATTTCTCAGGTGTTCACATTATTTTGTACAACCCTTGTAGCTATTGGTTCACATCAAAATGTAAAGAATGGACACTTAGCACTGATTTCATAACCCTGGGTTATGAAGACCTGCTCCAGAGACGTTCTAGATCGCTACAGTGAGACGTTTAGAATCAAACAACCAATCATAAACTGCCTCAGTACTTACTTCATTAAATATGAATGCACTTTGTACAACTGCAAAAACTTTCTAGCACTTAGACTTAAATTCATTAATAATTTGAGTAATAAAAACATGAGTATTTTTGCTGTATGTTTCAGAACAATTCTGGAGTTACTAGAGCGAATCTACATGGCGACATTTCCACAGATTATTTAAGTTATTAAACAGGTCACGTAATGTCTTTGGCCAATCAAGGCTATTTCTCATATAAATATGTAAATAAGTAACCCCAGGGTTTACAAATGTACACTGTTAAATCTTGAAACTTGACTACTCATGGTTAATTACTGACCCAAGAAAATATGAACAGTGTGACAAGACACAAACCAGACATGACAACCCAGGATCCTGTAGGTTTAAGAATAAACTTGTGAAAAGGCCCCGTGTATATTGACTAGAGTAAATCCACAACACAAGAGTGACCTCTAGTGGTTACAACATATGTTCACACAATACATAATTGAAATGTATCCCTCTAATAGTTATATTTTGTCTATATATGATAAAATAATATTAAATTTGACATATACTGTATGAATCAAAATTAAATGCATAAATATATTTTTGAAAAAGACAAACGTGCGTGACTAAAACCACTATGTAACGCTTCGTACAAAAGTCTGTAAGTAACAAGAGCACGAACCGCCACCATCCACAGACAAAGAGAGACGTGCGCCGACAATCTGAGCATTTCAATGGGACAACGACAACAAACATTTAATATCTGGATCTAAAGTTCCGCGGTGTATTTATCGCGGATTCTCATGTAAGAAACATTCAAACTGCATCATAGTTTCATCGGTAAAATGCACCGGTAAGTTAAGTGAAACGCGATCTGGTCATACATTCAGCGGGAGCGGGCGGGTGCGGGTTTAAGAAAACAGTCCCGCGCAGGGCTCTAATCTCAACTGCTAACGCAGCCGTTTAAGACTATAGTCTTTAAGACTTTATAGTCTAAGACTGTCGATCAAGACTATAAAACGGCAATTACTTGCTCAGCGTGATCATTAATATGCTCAAAACATTTACAGCGACTAACAAATTCGCTTGTGCAGGACCCCTATAGTATGTTGTCACATCATGCTTTCCGTCACGCCTAGACCGACGAGTCTGATTCTTTTCCTCGAATAGATTCTTTCGATCAGTTCATTTCACTGATTATTGCAAACAATTCAGAGATGACATTAATGAAATACAACTTTGCATACATTACACATAATATATCATAATTTCAGTACTTCTTTTACGTCATGTAGTGGTCTTTGACATAGCGACAAACATATTCCATCCTTTAAAACGTTCCAATGCATCCATATGCTGCTGTGTATTACAGATTTTAGGTGACTTAGTTCAGTTTGTTGCAGCCATGATTCAGTTCTTAAATAAACGAATCATTAAAACATAATTTGCATTCATATAAAAAAAATGAATTTTAATACTCTTTTATAAATACTAAAAATATGTATATAACACTGTCTTACAATCAAAAAAGAAACATTTTCCGGTGCGTTTAATTTCTGCTATTCGTTATCAAAGTAACTCACTTTTCGCGCCGTTGTTCCGGTGCATTTAGTTTCTCTGTTTCCCCCTCACAGCGCATGCGCAACTTCGCAGTGTTGCCAAGTCCGCGGTTTTCCCGCGGTAGTTTTTAGTAGCAATTGGGCGGGGGGTTTTTTTGTATCCTGGCAACCCTGAAACTTCAGTACTGAAATCATGACGTCATGATTTCGCCCCGGCTAAGCAAGTCAGCTTATGGTGGTTTTGCTGTCTTTCTGCAAGCAATGTTAATTTCACCATGTTAATTAGATCATTTGTAATTAAATACGTATTAATGTACGTCACGGCCTGTTCAATCGCAACATAGAGTCAGATTTCCCTGCTAATTCTAACTTTTGCCTGTTTTATGAAGTGTAACACCATACATTACAATTAGACAGTACATTTTTTTTAAATGTCATAATTATGTCTAGCCACTTTTATCTGCAGAATAGTGTCTTTACACTAAAAACACAGGGGGAACATATCTTAAAAGATACCCTAAGATACCCTTTTTTTTTTTTTTTACAAAACTACACAATTTCAAGACGTTCTGGTCTTTTTAATGTTATCAGTGAGTGCACAAGTTTAAACAATGTGAAATCACAATCAAAAATAAATTAATCACTTTTTTCAAATACAATAGTACAATAGAAAAGCAATTTTTAAACCATACAAACTAAAATATACAATCTTAGAAACACAGAAAAAGTCAATACAAGTGCAATTTTGAAAACCAAGCAAAAACTATTTACAAAATTTTCATAATATACTGACTCAGATAATACACAAGGGGCAATAATATTCTTTATTCACTGGTGATAGCACCCGTCACATCCATCACAGGCAATCTGAAAGATCATACAATATGTTAAATAAAGGCTTCAGTTGTTTAACAGAAACACACACACACTAACAACAACAATAACAATAAAATGGAAATGGGCGTCCGAACAAAAGAATGCCCCTGACGAAGGAATTTAACTGTCTAATCGTAGCCTAAACGTTACACTTAATAAAATAGGCCAAAGTTAGAATTAGCAGGGGAATCTGACTCTATAGCGATTGAACAGGACGTTACGTACATACATGTATTTAATTACAAATTAGCTATCTAATGAACATGGTGAAATTAACCTTGTGCTTGCGAAAAGACAGCAAAACCACTAAAACTCGCTTCGCCGGGGCGAAATCATGACGTCACGATTTTCGTACTGAAGCTGCGCATGCGCTGTGAGGGGGAAACAGGGAAACTGAATTCACCGGAACACCATCACTCCAATGCTTATCGTTGCACAATTTGCACTCCAAACAAGCGTCGACTCACCCGTTGGTTCTCGGCTCATAGTGATACATAGAAAAGATTCGACTCGAAAGAACGATTCATTCACGAATTGGAATCGGGCACGTCTAGTGACGTCATATTCAAACGCCTCACATCTGTGTCTGTTTTGCTAGCATGTAACAGTAACAGCTAACATTAGACGTGTTTTCACAATAGTTTTGAGTTTCACTCAGCTGAGATGGTGCTAGAAAGTGTCGCGTAATGATAAGAGGACGCTACATGCGTCGACACCATGGTCGACACACGAATGGTAACAATGTCAGACCAGGAGTTTCTCCAAAGTAAGTTCATATTTGAATTGTGAGATTTGCTTGTGCTGCTGACTGTATTAAAATCAAAACAACATGATAATATTATCTGTTTTAATATTTTTTATTTTTCTACAACACATTTAAGGAGGATTTTAATAGACAAAATTACATTTAATTGTACTTACATTTTATTGTACTTAATTTATTGAAACATTCTGTTGTATTTAATCATTTATATTTATTTTTTACATGTAATAATATAACTATAGTAACCACTGATAAAAGCATGAATTACTCATCATTTCCGTGCTTAGTTTCTATTTAAATAATGGTACTATATGGGGGGAAAATAGTTGCATATATACATTTATAAACCCTAACTGCCATTTAAACATTAAAAAGTCTTAATAGATATTTCCAATGATTGTACAGTATTTCAGTTCACTATAGTTGGTGTTTACTGAATCCTTGTAAATATTTCAAAGATTTTGCTCTGTGGTGTAATGACTGAGATTTATCTTTCCTCTTGCAGTCATCCCATGTTTAGCCGTTACCTGAACACAGTGGGCTTTCCGCCAGCTCAGACCGTTTACTACCACTGGAGACACTGTTATCAGCCTGGTCATGTATGGTGGACACAACCATCACACCTGCAGCATCGCTGGTCCTCCTTCAGCACTTTCAGACATCCCTCCAGTAGGCCCCCGCGACCTCTGGATCCATACAACTGGAGGCAAACTGAAATACTGCCACACACTCAACCCGGACGAGACCTTAAACTTTCTGCAGGTCTGATGGACCGCTCTAATAGCGAGCCACCAAAGAAAAGAAAGAGGAGCTCAGACAGGATGCAGGCAGGGGAAAAATCTCAGTGCTCACCCGAATGTTCACCTCCAAAAGGCAGCAGGAATCCAAAAGGAAGTCCTGAATGGCTACACAATGTAACCTGCACACCAGTTCCTCCAGGAAAATTTCCATCAAGCCCAAACCAGTCTCCATCCACACCAGGTGAATGATTTAAACTCTAATTTTTGATTTATATTGATGTATTGTTATTGTTGCTAATGTAGTTGTCCATAAAAAGCCAAATATTTTACCTCCACAGAGTTGAAGAGACATTGGGAGGATCTTTCTCACCTCTGTAATGCTGCACCATCTGTGAATGGAGGGAGACAAAAATGGCCATTTGACTTTTCTGTGATGTCCTACAATATCCTCTCACAAGATCTGCTCTGTGATAACACGTACCTCTACAGACATTGTCATCCTCCAATTCTGGATTGGCACCATAGGTATCCAAACATCATCAAAGAGCTGGAACAGCACAGTGCTGATGTAAGTGAATGAACCATTTGTGAATGCATTGCAGAACAACATTCATTTTATGTTTATGTTCTTTATCTGTTATGTTCAGTGGACAGGAATGGATGATTTCCTTAAATATCTGCAATATCATTTGCTCTATAGATAATGTGCCTGCAGGAGGTGCAAGAGGACCACTATAAGCAACAAATCAAACCCTCACTAGAATCTTTAGGTACTTTAAATCCTTGATGTCTCTTTAGGTGTCTTAAGTTTTGTCAGGACTTTAGATGTTATATTTTATTCAGAATATATATACACTACTGTACAAAAGTTTTTTTTTTATTTGATCAAAAATACAGTAAAACTGTAATACTGTGAAATATTATTACAATTTAAAATAACTATTTCTATTTTAAAATGTAATTTATGCCAGTGATGGTGAAGCTGAATTTTCAGCCGTCATTACTCCAGTCTTCAGTATCACATGATCCTTCAGATATCTGATTTGAATGATGCTCAAGAAATATTTCTTATTATTATCAATGTTAAACAGTTGTGCTGCCTAATATTTTTGTGGAAACCGTGATGTATTTTTTCAGGATTATTTGATGAATAGAAGGTTCAAAAGAACAGCGTGTATTTGAAATAGTTTAAAAGAGTTTCACTGAACTGTCACTTAATCAATTTAATGCTTCCTTGCTGAATAAAAGAATTGATTAATTAAAAAAAGAAATATGACATTATTGTAATGGAATTTTTTTTATTAGATTGCAAAATAAAATGCAATATAAAAGCATTTTCACAAGTGGACTTTTGAAACATACTGTATTTATGAAACAATAAATAGTGATGAATACAGCACTTAATTTTTAATGCGGTGATCTTTTGCCCTTACAACAGGGTACCATTGTGAATACAAACGGAGAACGGGACTGAAGCCTGATGGATGTGCTGTGGTCTTCAAACGTGAGCGCTTCTCTTTAGTCTCCTGTCACCCTATAGAGTATTTCCAGTGTGGCATCCCTCTATTGGACCGTGATAATGTGGGCCTGATTGTGCTGCTGCGACCCATTGACCCTCATTGCTCCCTCACCAACATCTGTGTGGCCAACACACATTTACTGTACAACCCTAGACGTGGGGACATTAAACTGGCCCAGCTGGCTATGCTGCTGGCAGAGATAAGCCGGGTGGCCCAGTTACCTGACAGCAACGTTTGTCCTGTTCTGCTCTGTGGAGATTTTAACTCTGTTCCTTGGTCACCCCTGTATCGCTTTATTAGGGACAGCAGACTGGAATATGATGGCTTACCTATTGGGAAGGTCGAGAATTTTGCAACATTTCCTCACTCTAATTTTTTTTCGTACAGTTTTGGCCTCTTTTAAATTGTCTGACTTGTTGATTTTGCAGGTGTCAGGACAGGAGGAGAACCCAAGGGGGCAGCGCATTCTAAGTGTGCCAATTTGGCCCAGATGTCTGGGCATCTCTCAGCAGTGCCTGTATGAAAGCCAAACAACAGGTCACTTTTCAGCCCTTATTACATACAGTGGGTATAGAAAAGAATCACCCCCTTTTAAAATAATCACATTTTGTTGCTTTGCAGCCTAAAATGAAGACGGACACTGTTTTTGTTTTATCCAGTTTTTTATCCAAGTGAAAGATAATAGCACCAACATGTCACAAAAAAAAAAGAAAAAAAAAAAACAATCACTGAGTTGGAAAAAGGATCACCCCCTCCTAAAAATGACTCGTGAACTCAATCAGGTGTAGCTAATCACCTTTATTTTGATTAGCTCAGCATGAAAAGAGCTTTCCTGGAGCATTTCAGTCCTTGGTAGTGCAACTGAAGCAAACAATCAATTATGGGTCACCCATCAAAGGATCTCCGGGATAAAGTTGTGGACAGGCACAAGTCAGGAGATGGACACAAAAAATTCAAAGGCTTTATCAATGCCTAGAAGCACAGTGAATTGTCAGGATAGAAGGACAAATGGATGGGGCAAAATACTGTCAAATTCTTGAGGAAAAGATGCGTCCAGAAAGTTGTCAATGGGAAGAAGGTTTACCTTCCAACATGACAATGACCCAAAGCACACAGCAAAACTGAGCACACAGTGGTTGAAGGAGAAAAAGGTGTATGTCCTTGCATGGCCTAGTCAGAGACCAGACTTAAACCCCATTGAAAATCTGTGGAATGACTCAAACACTGCAGTCTACAAACGGTCACCATCAAATTTCACTGAACTTGAGCAGTTCTGCAAAGAAGAGTGGGCAAATATTGCGAAGTCTAGATGTGCAAAGTTAGTAGAGACAAATCCCAACGGACTAAAGGCTGTAATTAAAGCAAAAGGAGGTTCAACAAAATACTGACACAAGGGGGTGATCCTTTTTCCAACTCAGTAATTCTATTTTTTTTTCTTCTTTTTTTTTTTGCTTCTGACATGTTGGTGTTATATCTTTCACTTGTAAGTTGCACGTAAATACAGCTGATCCAAACTGGATAAAAGAGCCAGGAGGAAACTGGTCAGAGAGGCGACCAAGAGGTCAACAGCAACTCTGAAGCAGTTGCAGGAATTTATGACAAAGAGTGGTCATTGTGTGCATGTGACAACAATATCACAAATTTTCCTCAAATGTGGCTTGTATGGGAGGGTTGCAAGTTTGAATAAAACAAAAACGGTGTCCGTCTTCATTTCAGGCTGCAAAGCAACAAAATGTGTTTATTTTAAAAGGGGGGTGATTCTTTTCTATACCCACTGTATAATGTAAACAGACACTAATTGGATAATAATTGCCAAGAACATTTAGAAACTTATCAGATAAATAATTTAACATTATGTTCTACAGTGTGTTGAAATGTTATTTCTAATGATCATTATATGTACTGTTCAAACGTTTGGGGTCTGAATTTTTTTTTAATGTTTTTGAAAGTCTCTTATTCTTACCAAGGCTGCATTTATTTGATCAAAAATACAGTCAAATCGTAATATTGTGAAATATTATTACTATTTAAAATAACTGTTTTCTATTTTAAAGTGTAATTTATTTCTGTGATGGTAAAGCTGAATTTTTAGCATCATTACTCTTCAGTCTTCAGTGTCACTTGATCCTTCAGAAATCATTCTCATATGATGATTTGGTGCTCAAGAAACATTTATTATTATCAATGTAAACAGTTGTGCTGCTCAGTATTTTGATTCAAGTGAATGTAACATTATGTAATTTTATAAGTGTCTTTATGCTCACTTTTGATCAATTTAATGCATCCCTGCTGAATTAAAAAAAATAAATTAAAAAAAATCTTAGTGGCCCAAACTTTTGACCAGTTGTGTACGTTAGCCATTATGGGAACTTTTTTTTGCTCCTCTGCTATTAACAGTTACAGCAACTTAGAAATGTATGAATGTCATTAGATTAGATTTAAAATATCAAACCAAGTGGCATCTGAAAATAAAGGATGCAAGTCATTTTCTCAGTCATTTTATGAAATTTCATCTTATAATGCAGTATACAGTAATATAAATTTCAACAGGGACAGTCCCAGTTTTAATGTAATTCTGGAACAACTTTGAAAATTGTATGCAACTACTAACATTTAGTTTGAAATCTTTCCACAGATTCTGATTTGAGGGATTTGAAGCGGGCAGAACTGGATGGGTAAACATAAATCCATATCTCTATAGTGCCTTGCTTGATTCAGTCATGCCAGTCGCATTGATAAAAGTATTAAGTAAAGTTTCTGTAGATCTTTTGTGTTCCTTGTGTTTACATTATTTAAAAATCCACATCGATTTATTCATATGTTGGTCTATGTGGGCGCCATTATTTCGATGACGTCAAATGGTTGCACTCTGTGAGCTACTGGCGCTACCTGTTGCTATTTTTTACCGCAACACAACTCGGAATACACATCTAGGAAAATAAAATACTGATTTGATGTCACATTGTGCCACTTTTGGTTGTAATTTTCAGTTGAAGGGCAACAAGAGATGTGATGTAAGTCTTCACTGCTTTCCTAGCGATAAGAAGAGGAGAAAGGAATGGGAAGATGCCTGTGGACGAATAAACTTCCTAAAGACCCGCGTCTTTGTTCTCTCCACTTTAGCCCTGATGCCTTTGAGGCTTTTAGTAGACCACAGCTCAGTAGCTGACAAACGGCAGAGACAAGAAATGCTAGATGCCATCCTGGCAGGATGTAAATATGCCGACCCTTGTCATGATGCTGCAGCCACTGAAGGAGTTTCTCAGCGTGGATTTCACTCGATATCCGGGGCGTTTAGACTCCTTGTGGGAAAAAATCGATGGTGCAGCATTTGGTTTAAGCCTACGCTTATTTCCATCGCCACCTGTAAGCTCTATCAGTAGCTGTGGTCATCATATCAGTATTTTATGTTCCGTGTTGTGTATTCGGAGTTGTGTTGTGGTAAAAATAGCAACAGGTAGCACCAGTAGCTCACAGATTGCAACCATTTGACGTCATCGAAAAAATGGTGCCCCAATAGTTCAAAATATATATAAAACAATGTGGATTTTTAAAAATAACTTAAATCTTTCATGGGTTTTCTACTACATATTTAAGTAAGAGACATCATTTACGTTATATTGAGCCATAAATGTCTTAAAACCCCGGGTTTCCTTTAAATTCTAACAGTGATTATTCTTCTCTCATGCGATCTGTTTGTAGTTTTACCAAGTCCAGCATTGAGCACTGTTTGAAGCTGACCTCTGCATACTCCCATTACCTGAAAGAGAGCGGTCAACCTGAGATCACCACATGCCACTCACGGACAGCCATCACCGTCGATTACATCTTCTACTCCGCAGCTCTGGGGGATGTGATGGCTCAAGCAGGTTCGACCATTACATTACTATTCTCTTTTAAATTCATTGGAAATAGTTGTTGTGTAATGTAGCATTTCATTTCAAATAAAAAATTCCGATTATTTATTTCTGCAGCTATTGTGGTTGCTGTCACCACATAAACATGTATTTGCGTAAAAGGAACAGTTCCCTAAAAATGAACATTTGCTGAAAGTGTACTTCGCCCGCAAGCCATCCAAGATGTATATGAGTTTGTTTCTTCATCAGAAATTTAGCATTACTTCATTTGTTCAGCAATGGATCCTCTGCCGTGAATGGGTGCCGTTGGAATGAGAGTCCAAACAGCTGATAAAAACATCACAAGTAATCCACATGACTCCAGTCCATCAATTAATGTCTTGTGAAGTGAAAAGCTGCTTGTTTATAATAAACAAATCCATCATTAACCTCATTCTGACAGCATCCTTTCACTGCAGAGAATGCATGAGCAAGTGACATAATCGTACATTTCTCCAGATCTGTTCCCATGAAAAAATAAACTCATCTACATCTTGGATGGCCTGAGGGTGAGTACATTTTTAGCAAACTTAAATTTTTGGGTAAACTATTTCTTTAAATATCCTCAAAGTAGAAGCTGATGCCACTAGACTATCAATGTACATGTTGCATCACTGCTCCTGTAATCATGTGACTTGTGATTATGCAGTTTGCTGCAGTGCAGTACATTCAACAGCAAAATTTCTGCTGCTGCTGGTTACCATGGCACTATTTTTTCATTCGTTTACCCAGAATGCAGTGTGCCACCAGAGAAGGGTCTGCAGCTCCTGGGCAGGTTATCCCTGGTGGGGGAAGATGAACTGCAGAAGGTTAACGGTCTTCCCAACCAGCACAACTCCTCTGACCACCTGCCGCTTTTGACACGTTTCCGTCTGCACCCTCAAGCTGAACAAAAGCATTTGCAAGTATCATAAAACCTTTAATATGTTTGTAGCCAGAGATGGAACATTTTTCTAACAAACTCACAAAAAAAAAAAAAAAGTTCTCATGTTTGTTTCACACCAGCAAAAAATGACATGACTCACAGATTCTCTTGAGACAGTCTATAACAAACTTGAAGCAGAAGTGGAATAACTTGTCTAAGTTATTGATAACTGATTTACCCAGTGCATTATGGGATGGTGACATGCACACTGTAATCAATAAATTAGGGATGTTTTATTATGAAAAATGGCAGCTTTGACAATAAGCATGTCATTTGAAGATGTAAAAATTTTTTTTCCCCGGCTTTACAAGTTAACTATTTCGGACTTGCATCATTTTATAGATTATAAGAAGGTGAAAAATAATAAATGATTTTATCTTCAAGCAGTTATTTGTGTAGTATTTTATTGTGTTGCTCTTTATTTAGCAAAAAATGTACACTGGGGTCATTAAAGCAAAGGACAACATGCTGAATACAGCGAAATTCTGAAATTCATGTCTTTTCAAATTGTTGTGCTGATAATATATTTTATAATTAAATTAATTGACAAGTAAAATAGGAGCATTTTACTAATGGTAATAATTAGCAGTGGTATTTTAGTATCATATTCAACATCTTTTTAACATTTTAAAGTAGTTTTTATTTTAGCTCTGTTTTCATTTTGATTTTAAAGCTTTAGTAATTTTGTTGTTTTGTCATTTTTATTGATCTTTTTATTTCAGTTTTAGTTATTGTACTACATCAAGTTCAACTAAGTAAAATGTGAAATTTTGACAACTAGTTGAAATAAATTTAATTGATTTATTCATTCATTCAGTTTCAAGCCTGTTCCCACATCTAATTCTTATGACTTTGCAACTGAAATGTACATTACAGTTTGAATATATTCTGAAAGTGAAGGGAAAACTTGCTGACAGCGGCAGTTACTTTCTGAGGTCGTTTCGTAAGGATTTGATAAAGAATTCAGCGGTATTTCTGGATTATTAAAATCCAGATGATAAAACGCTGAAATTCTAGGGTGTTCTTTGACCGACCTGGGATATTTTCTCTAGGCGCGAGACAATAGTGGATGTTCTAGGAGGCCTTTTATCTTGGGAGTAGAGATGAAAAATGAAGGATTTTTGGTAAATCCTCCGGGGCTCTATTCATGTGTGACGCTGTCTTTGTAAACAGATTAATGCGGGCATATTCCCTCCGTACAGACAGAGACTTCACTCAGGCTGCGTTCTGTAACTGTGGCTGTGAGATTTAGGGCAACGCTGATGTTACATCACCTGGTTTAATCTCAGAGCTTCTCTTTTGCAAGAGCAGATCCTTGGCCCACAGAGAGGAGTGCGTTTGTTGACTATTAAAACCTTACAAAACCAGTCTTCACTGCTAAGGTAGGGGTAATGTACAGTCAGCCGGTCAGTATCGCAACATAAACGAGTTTATTAAATGGAAAATAAATAAGTGAACATAAATTTCCGCTATGAAAAGTATTAAAACTTATACTCTTAAGTCTGAAATCAGTTTCGAGATCAAATCAAGCGATAATTGAGACTCAAAATGGCATCGGTTGCGTTACACCGGATTGTCCAGATCAGAATCAAGTATTCAAGAGAACCACGAAAATAAGCACCGTGAACGGCCCAATCACAGACTTACAGAAAAACAATAGTTTTTATTAAAACATGCTACAGAGAAATTAACAAATTACATTAATGTTTCATCATGGGGGAACTGAGGTGACCCAAAAACAAATTTATAACAGAAAAGAGGACAGATGGTGCAAGCTGAGGTAAGGCTTACGAAAAATGTGTATAAAACAGTTGAGGGTTAAATGAATCCTTATTTAGGCGAATACATTTATAATACGAAAAATATGAACAGAAAACAGGACAAGTTGAGGTCTTCATAAAGAGAAAGTCACATCATTAACACTCTTACTGAGAAAAACATTTCCTTTAAAATTGATTATTTATCATTCATCAAAATTGATTGTATTTTCAGGCAAGCCCGCATTTAAGACACATGGAAACCAAAATTCCATCTACAATCTCATGACTATTAATTTCACTTATGAATTGTTTTTTGGTAATGCATACCATTAAACGTATCTTGTAACTGAGATAAACTCACTTTCTAATCATTGTGCTACAGAAACGTAAATTTGATGTGCTCTTTAATCATTAAAAAAGTCAGTGCTAAAATAATTGAATTTTATAATAATGGGTAAAATGTCTCATCTTAGCACCTTTGAGGGGAGATCACTGCATTTCCTTAAAACCAGAAAGCCATTTACAAACTAAAACATTTTTGTCTGCCATAAAGTTTCACTCACAATTTCACACATCTGATTAGTTAAACAAACAAGAAGTTATAAATGATAGAAATCAGTAACAATGAGGTGTTCTTCAGCAGCAGGCCGCTTCTCTCCCAGAAAGGGTCTGAGCAATTCAACATGGTACATTAGATATGTCATTGAAACTCATGACCTTTCATCTTCATGTGACTGGGATGAAACCTTCCGCCCTATGGATGATTTGGACGTATTCAATGGTCTGGCACTTGTGTGGTTCAGTAGCTTTTGATAGAAAGCTGGTACCAATTACAAGGCAGAATGAGCTAGCTATAATGTGGTAGTTTAGTCAATAGCACCCGATAAACATCGTTCAAAGAGGAACCGCTCATACAACCCATGAAGAATTGGTAACAATGTCACTGCTACAATTTTAAAGACAGGTCTGCTGTCAAGAAGGACGGATTGGCAGACCTTCTCCATGTGCATAGCTTAATCTCATGAGGTGAGAAAATTCAAAGTGATATGCTGTTGATAAAGAGGGATTGATAAAGGGGACAGGGACATAGTGATGGAAAAAATATGAGAAATATTAGATGGGAGTAAAATGCACATTTCAATGATTTTGCGTTCCCCAGCAAAACTTTTGCATTCTCAAGAAACTCTCTTGTAAGTTTTGCTGAGAAACTGAGCAGTTGATCGCTTTTGTAAAAGTATTGCTCTCCCCCCAAGAAACTTTTATATTCTAAAAATTATATTTCAATGTCACAAAAGTATCACATTCCCTCAATAAACTTTGTGTTCGCTGGAAAAAGCATTGAAAAATAGTTTTCTCTCCCACTTAATATTTAAAAATGTATATTTCTGCTTTTGCATTACCTCGCAAAACTTTTGTTTCGGAGGAAAATGCAAGTTTTTTTCCCCCCCCATCACCATGTCCTTTTAGGACAGAGATGCTCAAAAAACATAAAACCACAAAATACTGTACAGGTTTAACAACCGGTAAAAAAAAATTAAAAAAAATAAATCTCTACAACAGCAACTATGACATTTTTATGATAAAATAAAAACAGTACAAAGCCTTCAATGTAAGGTGACGTCAAACCTTAGTCAATAAATCATGTCCATTCCTTCCATATCACAGGAGTGTTTGGGACTGTATGCAGGTAACAAAAAAAAAAAAAGTAGTAAAGTGGATTGAATACAGTTCTTGTGGGCAGAATGAGTAGCTCTCTGAAGCTTAGGTCCCTTGTGTCCTTGCGCCTCTGGCAAAAAAAAGCTTACGTCCTCTCTCTTCCAGGCCAGTCAGCCTCCAAAACTACCAGCAGCACAGCACGAGGCACTGAGGTTTACATCTCTCTGCCAAGCACAATCCATTCACACTCCAGCTCTCACTGCTTGTGGACATTCTGTCCTAAAATAGAGCCTTTTCCCCACATTTCCATATTTGCTTGAATATTTCAGTCAGTTCACAACTTTTTTTTGTCTTCTAAAATGCTTGACAATTACTAGGGTAAAAACATTTTTAAAGCAAAGTTAATATCCTTTGCTCTTAAACGTTCCACTATTAAAAAAAATGTTATGGCTGGAAAAGGAACATCATATTCTGTTAAAAACATTTTTTTTAAATCGCTTTTAACTTTTGCTTTTGACTTTAAGAAGGGCACCAAATGCTCTCTCTAACATGAAAGTACAACTATAAATATGTTCAATATCCTGTACAGTTCACAATGTGCATTAAATCGTGTTTAAAAACATCTTCAGTGGATCTGACTGAGGGGGGACGTGTGGAGGATAAAGCTGGTGCATTTAGTGTCTTAGATGCGGATCTGGTAGCCATCACTGAGGGTGCTGAGCTCTGCTGGCTTTCTGTCCAGTGCTGCTGGCCTGCAAAGAAACATGTTTAGGTTAGCTTCATTTTAGAGTTTATTGTTGCACAAATATGCTGAACCTTTTGGTTCATGGATGAAATGTTTTAGAGCAGAATTAACCACATTAGTAAGAAGGCCAAAAAATTTTTTGCATTAATATACAGTACATATGATTTTAATAAATTATATAATTGGGTAAAAAATGTAATAAATAAAAAAATGCTAAATAAACAACATATTGATATACATAACCATTCAAAAGTTTGGGCTCTATGATTTTTTTTTATTGTTTTTGAAAGTAGTCTCACCAAGGCTGGATTTATTTGATCAAAAATACAGTAAAAACAGTAATATTGTAAAATAGTATTATAATTTAAAATAGCTGTTTCTATTTTGATATATATTTTAAATGTAATTTATTTTTGTGATGCAATGTGGAATTTTTGTCTAGTATTCAGTCACACGATCCTTCAGAAATCATTCTAATATGCTGAGAAACATGTCTTATTGTTATCAATGTTTAAAACAGTTGAGCTGCTTAATATTTTAGTGGGAACCTTTTTTCCAGCATTCTTTGATAAAAAAAACAAAACAAACTGCATTTATTTGAAATAGAAATTAATAGCTTTTGACCAATTTAATGCATCCTTGCTGTATAAAAGTTTTTTTTTTAAAGGTCTCACTGAGCCCAAAACTTTTGAGCAGTAGTGTAAAAAAAAAAAATAATAAAATAAATATTAAGGACACAATCTTACATTAAAGTTCAGTTGTTAAGCAAATTCAACCTTCCCGCTAGAAAATATAGTCCCTGACAAATAAACCTACCTAGTTTATTGAGCAAATTACATTTTAGACACAATATGGCCAGCTAATTTCTTTTACTTTTGCTCTCTTTTTAACACAGTCAAGTGGATTGATACAAACACTAAAAATGTCAAGTGCTGTTAGATAAACACAGTCCGTGGACAAGAACTAACTGTTGTTTTAGTCTATCACTAATTTGAATCTCACACCTTTTTTTATCCCACAGGTTTATTTGCCGAGATAAATCGCATTCATGTTCAACCACCACTTTCAGTCCAGCTGAGAACACAGAGCTGCTGAAGAACAAAGTGCTCCATCACAGACCTCCAGCACATCCGTAACTGTCGTTGCCTTCAAAGGTCCATCACATTTTCCCTTCCACTATTCGCTTTTATGCTACTACTCTTGTAAACAAATCAATAGGCCTCCATGTTCTTTTGACTGATGTGGGCTATTTGAAGCATGTGCTTCAACGCCAGGCGATCAATCGCACAGCAGTGCCAAGGCAGGTCCTCTCCAGCTCTGCCTTTTACAATTCCTTCCTTCATAAAAGACTAAGAATGAAAGTTTCTCAGGCAAACATTAGTGTTACCAAATAAATGTAAATAGATTTGTCATTGCAGGAAACCACAACCACAATAGCAGCCTTATGATTAGTCAAAACACTTTTATATCTCAACCTAAGACACATAACTGATAAAATATGTAAGTTATACAATAAGTCTCTTATGTTCACCAAGGTTTCACTGATTAAAAATACAGTAAAAACAGTAATAGTGTGTCTTTTGTTTTTTTATTATCAGTCTTGGTTTGGCCAATATTAGAAACAAATACTAAGAATTATTTTTCCCAATGCACTTTTTTGACAGCTGAAGAACAACCTTTAGGAAGAATAACGCAAACTCCGAACTCTGGAGAGAATCACATGCATATTTTCATTTTATCTTCTGGGTGTTTCTGGTCTTTAATAATGGACAGAAAATTGTGGTGAAAAAAACAGCAGGGAATGGGACTGCAGAGCTTGAAGTTAGAATTTTCATCTATTTTGTAAATGTGAGGTATAGATCTTATTCAAACTTTTTTGATCTTGTAATTTTTTATTAAAACATAATTGGATCTTTTTCTCTGATGACGTATGCAGGACTTTTCCAATCGTTCAGTCCACTTATATTCCCCTTATTCTTACAACTGACTGCAAGCTCACATTCAGATCTGCGTCCATCCAATAAACTAACATTGCAAAGAACCAAGTTCCAACCTTACATTTTTTTACTTTTTCAATAATCTGCTTCACTCAGATAAATGTCAATACGGAAGAAATTTGCCGCTACACTGTAAAAAAGATTTTTCAAAGTTGTAAATAAAACATCACAGGAGTACATTTAACAAGAAAATGCTATTTCAGTCTTTCTACTTTAAAAAGTAATGTTTAATTCAATGTTTTACTTGCCATTTTCTGTAACTAACGGTCAAATTAAATATCAAATTCTGAGTGAAAAATCTGACACCAAATTTTAAGTACTTCCATTTTATTGCAACCTTAAAGAAACGGTTCACACAAAGTAAATTCTGTCATTATTTCTGTCAATATTTACTCTCATGTCACTGCAAAGCCATATTATTATGGCTTTGTTATAATTGTTAGTTCCTCCATAAACACAGAATTACACAAAAATATGATTTTTGTACACAAAAAAAGCTCTTGCCATACAACAACAATTTTACACAAGAACCTTTTGGGCAATTGTGGTTTGTTCCTCACACAAACGTATATGGTTTAAACTTATATGGTTTCAGTAGACTATTTCAGTAAGTTCTCTTGACTCCTTTTAAAGGAACTCCACTACTTTTGAAAATAGGCTCATTTTCCAAGTCCCCTAGAGTTAAACAGTTGAGTTTTACCAATTTCGAATCCATTCAGCCGATCTTTGAGTCTGGCGGTAGCACTTTTAGCTGTAGCTTAGCATAGATCATTGAATCTGATTAGACCGTTAGCATCTCGGTCATTTAATATGCTTATTGGAAGTTACCGATCTGGGGACTATTTTCAGGCACTGTGTAATATCATTGCGCCTGCTGCACCCATGGTACGGCAGCAAAGTTCCTTGATTATTACGCCGGAATGAGAGTATAGTTCCTAGTCATATCGGCCTAGAAAATCGCAACTTTTCATTTTCCGTCGGTCTTAGTACACGATGTAACTAGAGAAGAGTCAAGTTTTAAATAGGAAAAATATAGAAACTCTTTGGTCATTTTTGAGCAAGATGCTAACGGTCTAATCAGATTCAATGATCTATGCTAAGCTGCAGCTAAAAGTGCTACCGCCAGACCCGGAGATCGGCTGAATGGATTCGAAAACGGTCAAACTCAACTGTTTAACTCTAGGGGAGTTGGAAAATGAGCCTATTTTCAAAAATAGTGGAGTGTTCCTTTAAGATAATTTTGTTTCTTTTGTTTGCTTGTTTTTGTCCTTTTGGGAGTTTATGACAGTTGTGGTCATTAGTTACCTGATAAGAGCTACAGTTACCAGTGTTGGGAAAAGTTACTTTTAAAAGTAATGCATTACGTTACTTTTGCATTACTTTTTGTCACGTGAGCTGAGCTTGCATATTTATTTTTAAAAACAAAAAGCCCAAAAGTGATATTTATTTCAACACAGGGACAGGAGAGCTGTCAGTGAATAAATGAGAAAACAAAGTAACTTGTGTTACTTACTTGAAAAAGTAACTCAGATATTTTCTTGGAAATTTAAAAGTAATGTGTTACTTGAAAAAAGTAATCTGAAAACGTAACTCGTGTTACTTGTAATGCGTTACCCCAACACTGGAAGTTAAATCTTAAAGAATTACATTAAGACTCTTCAACAAAGCCTCATTTTGTATCCTATAAAACACAATACACAGCATACATGTTTGAAACAACATGAGGCTGAGTAAATAATGACAGAATATTCATTTTCGGATGAACTGTCCCTTTAAGAGATTTATTTGTATAAGAGGTGTAGTATTTGTATAAGATGTTTCCTTTTGAGAGCTTCAGGGACTGTCACATGCTGCATGTCTGCAGGGGATTTTATGACAGTGGCAAAACCTCATAATCATCAGCTATAGAACTGTGGGGGAGTTGGAGAGCAGATTCAGCGTGACTTCATTTCGTAACTTTATAATTCTTTCCACTGTAAGTGAATGAACAAACTCATCTGCCAAGAGATGCATTTGCTGTGCAGTTCTTCAGGGTAACTGAAGGTGATGCTGACGTTAAATGTGTGGTGTGTTTCAGCTGCTGCTCAGTAATTAACATCTCAGACCATGTGACAGGAAGGTGCTATGGAACACAGCAAAAATAGCTCCGATTGGGAAGCAGGAGGTCCACAGATATGAAGTCTAAACTTTAGTATCATTTCATGCCTTGTGCGGTTCATCCTATCATCTTAGAGGTACATTAGTTTGACTAAATAATTACAGCATTGTGAGACACAACAATCGAGTTCTTTTTTAGACGTGTCAAAAGAAGCACTACAATACAACATGTAATTAAACGAAACTCAACGGCTCAAGCTTGAACACACATAGGGGACGTTGCTGTGGTATTTTTTAATTGCTTAACAAACATACTCTAGATGAGCGTCTTTGATGGTTGTGATGGGGCTTGCTGTATTTTTCAGCATCTTACTTCGTTTCAAGACATCAAGGACTTAAGCACTTAAGTAAAATGTGTTTTTTTTTCAATTTCAGTAAAATTATAAAACCTGAAAAGGTAAGTTTATACCAAACACAGCAAAAACACACTAATCTTCAAGTGAATAATTTTTTTTTTATAATCTGTTTTATCTGTTCATTTACATGAACCGTCTGAATGAATCGATTCACTTGAATTAACTGGCATTTCGAACACTACATAAGACCATTGAGGACTGTTTAGGATGAACTAGTTATATACAGTATATATATATATATATATATATAAGAATAAGGATATCCCGAAATCATTTGGTTTATGAAATTAGATGGAAACACACAGAGCTTGATAAGATATATCATTGTTGTAGATTTTGTCTTTTGTTTGCAGTATACAAATGAAGAGCAGTCCCAACAGTATAGTAGTGTATAATTAAACAATATCACACTAGCAGGAGTGTTGTTGCACTGAAATGGGATGCAGGCTGTGGTTACTAGCATCACAAAGACTGAAAGCTGGTCTTAAACAGCATATGAGTGGAGTTACAAAGATTTTCTGCTCAAAACGCTCTATAATTATGGCTCCAGCTACAGACAATTACTAGTCAGAATGTGAGATCCTAATAAAACTCAAACAAGTTCTGATAAACCTGTGTTTATATTGCTTTCATACATTTTGGTACCCTTTTTAACATATTTAGTTACTAAAAATGTAAAGGGGTGAAACTAGTAATGAAATATATTTATATAAACAAATGATATCTAAGATAAAATATAAATATATTATATGTTTATAAAATAAATAATAATACAAATTAGGTTCAGGTTCCTTTATTTTATACCTGTAGGTAAATTAGGTTTCAGTGAGCAAGTCCAGACTGTTTCTCATACATACCATAGACAATACAATAAACAACACTATAAAAACAACACCAAACACTAAAACATCATAATAAACCCATTACTTCATCTTATTACTGTAACTGTTCATATGATTAATCACTACTGGGACAAAGCTGTTCTTATACCCTTTCGTATAAGATTCATTAATTACATTAATATAAAAATATCATGAATTTTGAATTAAGATTTTCAAGATGTTTATTAAGACGTTTTTAAGGGTTATTCCATTCGACAAAACGTTTTTAAAATATGAATAATATGGATTACATATAAGGATTATATGTATGTTTTATAATATGTATGTATATAATATATGTATTTTTAAAGTAAAAATGAACTAGTTATATACAGTATATATATATATATATATATAAGAATAGACCACTTAGGACAAACCGATTCACTACAACGAATCAGAATTCACTATCAACTTCAGAAGTCACTTTCAAATTAAGCAGCTTTCTGTCAACGCGCAACCAACTTAAGCCCGTGGCAAATTCTGTATGGAGAAATCTTTTGCTCCAACGTGAAATTCACAATCATATGTATTTCGCCAGCTAAAATTCACAGAGCATTGGCAAACACACAAGCAAACGAAAGCACAGCAGCTTTAACATGATCCCACACATCCTCTGGTGCTTCAGAGGATTTAGTTACATCATCAGACGCTGAGCTCTGAAATGCTAAAACATAAACAGGACCTTCTGATTATCACTGTATGTTTATGCGGAAGGATTATTCATTGATTCATTTCAGCGTGACATGTCAATGAAGTCCGCATCCACCACAGCTGTTGCATTGGACTCGCATCCTATTAGAGCGAACGCCAACCCAGTGTACTGCCCGAGGGCAGCTTGTACTGACAGCAGAGGAGTGTCACATCAGCTGCAAGTGTTTAAAACGCCACTTTGCTTAAATAATTACCCCTAACTCCCTGCTCTAGGTCTTTTTTCCCACAGCTTAGGGATCCCTATGTATATATGTCTTTCTAAAACGACCACTTCTTTCAGAGAGGAAGCTTTGCTATCTACCACTATGTCACTTTTTATGACTCTTCTTAGTAGATACAGTGCACTGCCTATATTTCCCAGGGGCGGCACTAAAAAGAAAGGAACCTTATTTCCTCAACACCACAGACAAAAGCAGCCCGAAGTCTCACTTGTAAAGTGATCAGTAGTGCTAAAAGGGGCTATCTGCTCCACTCGGCACAATAAAAGAGCTCCTCCGCCAGTATTTGCGCTGCGCTGCTATAGAAACTTTGAATCCATAAGTCAAGCACCTGGACGAGAGGAACAGGGTTGTGCTTTAGTAACACGAGAAGCGGCCAACCATGTGCTGCTAGAAGAGATTAATCAACGGATCGCCTGCACCTGCTTCACAGTGTCACCATCACAGCTCTAATGAGAATACACTGGGTTAAAGCCACTGCATGGACACGAAACATGAGCAGACAATGTGTGTCTTCTTCAGTGTTCAGTAACCTCAGTGACCACCGCTCAACATCTGGGCATGACAGTGTGAGCATTTCACTTGCATTTGCAACTAAAAATAGATAGGAACAGTGTGCAAATTAAAAAAATTTACCTCAGTTTTATAAATCTTTAGCTCATAAAAAGGCTAAGTATTAATAACAAATGTCTTAATTCTATTGGCGATGGAAAAAAAACAGGAATTGTAAAACAGCCTAAAGTTTTTATTAATCTTCAAAAGTCTATGATTTAATTGAATGAATATTAAAATAGAATAGAATTCAAAATAAAAATCTTTTGTGACAATACAAGTCTTTACTATCACTTTTTTTTAAAAATCAATTTAACATATCCTTGCTGAATAAAAGTATTAATTTCTTCTTACAGTTTTAATTTACTTTTGACCAAATAAATGTCTGAAGAATCACGTGACACTAAAAACTGGAGTAATGATGCTGAAAATTGAAAAATGAAATACATTACAAAGTATATTAAAACAGAAAACTGTTATATAATAAAATATTCCACAATATTACTGTTTTTACTGTTTTTTTTTATCAAATAAATACAGCCTTGGTGAGCATATATATATATATATATATATATATATATATATATATACACACACAGAGTTCTGGCATGAAACTCTCAGGGGTTAAAGCAAAAAAAAATCCTGAGTCTGAACTTTTTTTCGGGGGCGGGGCAGCACATGCAAAGCATGCAATGACTGTGGCAACTTTAACATTTGAAAGGATACT